AGCCGCGGCATGTGCCGGAGACCGTGGGCGCACCTAGTGCAAACGCGAGGCCACCGGGCACCTTTAGACCCCCAGCAATCGAGGTGAAGAGGTTGACGGAGTAGGAGATGGCGCGGAGACGTGAGAAAGGGCTGTGTTTCCAGTGCGAGGAAAAGTACACGCCGGCACATCGTTGCAAGCAGAATTTCTTGATCGAGTTCGTGGACTCGGATGACGAGGAGCCGGTGATCGAGGAAGAACGGGAGGTGGAGGTCGAGGTGCTCAATTACGAGGCCGAGATCTCAGTCCATGCGATGGCGGGCACTAAAGGCCCGAGGACTATGAAGTTACCGGCGTGGTTGAAGGATCGGCGGGTTACGGTACTCGTGGACAATGGGTCGTCGCACAATTTCATTAATGCGACTCTCTCGCACAAACTCAAGTTGCCCACGACCACGATTGAGCCGTTCGAGGTTAGGGTGGCGAATGGCGAGTGCCTGCAGTGCTCGGAGATGTACCGGGGCGTGCCGATCAAGTTTCAAGGCGTGACCCTGAAGGCAGATTTGTTTGCCTTACCTTTGGTGGGGCCGGATGTGGTGCTTGGGGTGCAGTGGCTCGAGGGACTAGGAGATGTGACGACTAATTACTGGAAGGGTGTGATGAAGTTCGAGGCCGGTGATCAGCTCGTTACTTTGAAGGCTAGTGAAGGGGCAACCAAGGAGGTTGGTCTAAAAAGAATCGAGAAGGTGTGGCGAGGTGGCGGACAGTTGTAAGCTGTCGTGGTCGAGCAGACAGGCAAGGACGCGGAGGTGGTCGAGGAGAGGCAGCGCGAGGTGCGTGACTTGCTCGAGGAATTCGACCAGGTCCTCGACGAGCCCAAGGGATTGCCGCCGCACCGGGAGTTCGACCACCGCATACCTTTGGTCGAGGAGGGTCGAGCAGTGCACGTGCATCCCTATAGGTACGTGCACTTTTAAAAGGCAGAGATCGAGCGGCAGGTGGGCGAGATGCTCGAGTCCGGACTCATCCAGCATAGCACGAGCCCATTCTCGTCACCGGTGCTGCTCGCGAAGAAGAAGGACGACATGTGGCGGTTCTGCACGAACTACCGCACTCTCAATGCGGCTACCGTGAAGGATCGCTTTCCCATTCCAAGCGTCGACGACATGCTGGACGAGTTGGATGGCTCGCGCTACTTCTCCAAGCTCGACTTACGCGCGGGCTACCATCAGATCAGGTTGCCCAAGGAGGACGTGCCCAAGACGGCTTTTCACACGCACCAAGGGCACTACGAGTATCTCGTGATGCCTTTTGGTTTGTGCAATGCGCCGTCGACATTTCAACTTGCGATGAATTCAATCTTCAAGGATTACCTTCGCAAATTTGTGTTGGTATTCTTTGATTACATCTTGGTGTATTCGAGGACTTGGGTGGATCATCTTGTGCACTTACGGGTTGTTTTGCGGATCTTGGAGGCTAACTCATTCTACATCAAGCCGTCCAAGTGTTCGTTTGTTCAACAGGTGGTCGAGTACCTTGGGCACTTTATTTCTCATGATAGTGTGAAGGTGGATCCAAGGAAGATCGAGGCGATGGTGGGTTGGCCGAAACCCACGAGCTTGACGCAGTTGCGAGGGTTCCTTGGTCTCACTGGCTATTATTGGAAATTCGTAAAGGACTATGAAACCATCGTGAAGCCACTCACGGAGATGACGAAGAAGGGAGCATTCAAGTGGACGGAGGCGAGCGAGAAGGCTTTCGAGGAGCTGAAGGAGGCT